TGCACAGGAGTGCGGCAGCAATGGGTTGTGCTGCGGCATGTATCAAAACTGTAGAAGTGCAGGCATGGCTTGCCTGGTAGTTGTGCCGAGTTGGTTCTGCCATCAGGGTGCTGTTGCACCTGACAGTATTCAAGTACATTGCACTGTACATGACGCTACAGGCTAGCCTCACTTCTGTACAAGTGGCCCATCGTGGGCTCACTAGAGTGGCCAGTATTGGCACACTGATCGTGTTGCTTCACTCACTGTGAGGTGTCGTTGTCGGTTGGATCGTGGGGAGGGGACCGTGGCGGGATAATCGGTGGAGTAAACTCCAGTTGCCACATTGTGTGGAGATGGCTCGGCTCAAGATCGGCCACGGCCCTGATGGTGTAGATTGCGACTGTGATCCTTTGTCCCTGCCATGGTCGTGTCTCATGCCATAGATGTGGGTGGAAGACAGCACCTGGCAAGGTGAGGTTTTGGATCCTGCCAAGCATGGTGCCATCTCTGGATGGGCAGTTGCCGGAGGGGGCCTCTAGCCAAAGGCCGCCACCCTTAAATGATGAGCATGGAAGCACCACATTACAGCTGGCAGGGGAGTTGTTGAGGTCCCTATGAGCCTGCATCATGGTGTTGCGTTGTAGCACAAAGCTCGTGAAGGCCTCAGTTGTACACGAGCGAATGTACTTGCAGATCATAAGTGTTACCCAGGGGAATGTCGTCGTGTTGCGACGTAAGCCGTGGAGCGGGCCTTGCGAGTAGGCTCCACTCAGGAAGCCCATTCCATCAGCGTGATCTGTGCTGGCTTCCCTACGAAGGTCCCCGCTAGGAAGGCAGTCGCATAGTAATTCCCATGCATCCATGCGGACTTGCCCATCGGCAATCATGTCAACAGCAATCTGCTCAGCCACGTGCCGTGGCGTAGGCATTCCCTCAGGTGTATGACTGGTGATCTCCAAAGAGTACGGTATACGCACTTGATGCTCATCCTCCGGAAGCGGATCCAGTTCTTCCTCACCCATGTTGGCGCCAAACTACACGTTGCGGCTTAGTGGGGAGCACCTACAAGGGAATCCCTATATGGCAATGAGCACACTCCATGACAGGAGGAGGGTAACAGCACAGGGCAAGGGTTTGGGCCCACCTCGACATATCACTTCCGGCATCTTTTGCACTTGTTAGCCCTTATTGTCGGCGTCATGAATTAGTAAAATTATAGCAGTTGCTCAGTCGACCGATCATGCAGACATCGCCAGAGTACCTGCATGAGACACACGCATTGATTACGTGGGGATGAGGTAGTGAGGGATGAGTAGCCGCTAGCGTCAGACAGCACTGCGCAAATTTTTCTGGTTTTTTGATCTTTTTGGAGCGCAGGCTGCTTGTGCGTCCCCCACACGCGGCTACCCCTCTGCACTCACTGCGTTTGCCTGCAGAGCAGGATCATGTAGCATTGCTGCCCCAAGACCACGTCACGCTGAACTGGTGTTCGAATGTGCTCAATGGGCTTATTGTCATCTGCTTTCCATTGCGAGGGTGCATGGGGGGCGATTCGTGCTGGAAGGTGATTGATGTATCGAGCTGTGTAGTGTCCTTCTGTAGCTGTGGCTCCGCAGTGTAGGACACACGCAGCGACCTGGTATGATACCGGTTCGCAGTCCGCTCCTTGGTGTGGATCGCTATATCTAGGTATTTGGACCGTTGTTTGTATTGACACTGGAGTGTGGAGTTTGATCGTACCTCCATCTTCTCCCGACCTGAAGCGAGACAGTCGCAGAAGTAGGATTTTGGGGGCATACGTACAGGATTGTAGGTGCCACCTGTGTGCCACTGATCTATGAGATGTTGCAGGGTGATGGTGTCATCGTGTGAGGGAAACCCTAGCGTAATAGCTTTATGTGTGTGGCGCTGTTCTCTAGTCTCCGTGCCCTCTATAGCTCGCTCACGATACGTAATTCCCATCGGCCTTGAAGAATTTGGGGCCGTCCGGCTCCCAGCAAGTGCTCAAGGAACTCGCAGGCGTCCTGTTGTTGACGCAGGTTCGCCCAGTCTCTCAGTAATGGTCTCCATGATCGCAGAGCATGTACGTGTATGGGCTTACGCGTATGGAACAGATCACGCCATGCCTGCTCCTGGCCCCCATACTTGAGTACATCAGCGGCCTGGGTGTGACTGACAGCATACATCCATGCTCTCACACTCGCATTGATATAGCATGTATTGCTGCTGTTGAGTAGCCGTATCATGAGCACTCTGCTAAGGCTTGTTGGACAAGCGCGGCAGCCGGGGACTGCCGAAGTGTGTCGTGTCTGAGCTGAAGGCCGATGATCTGGAGCGCCGAAAGACCCGTCAGGGCCTCCATGCATTCCCACACCGTGCAGTGGCCCTTGGTGCGGTTCGATATGTCCAGCTGGAATGCCGTCACGCCGGTCATGTTGCCCGCTAGTGGCCTGGTGGCATGAAAGCGATGGATCATGTAGGGCTGCATGACGATGGGGAGCACCAGCTGAAGGGCTTCCACCAGCTTCGTGCGCGGAAGAGGGGGCCGGTTCTCGTCCACCACTAGGCTCCCCAGTGCTGTCGACCACTTCTGGTAACACCAGTGACCGTCCTTTAGCCACTTCATTTCCTCGGCCTCGGTCTGGAAGGGAGTCGGTGCCGCTCCCCCGATGTCCTTCAGTCCTGTGTGCAGCATTTGTAGTAGACATCCGAACAGTGTCGTTCGGAGGGCTGTGGTGGTTGTTCCCTCCTCCTGTGCCTTCTTCCACTTCTCAGCCGCTGCGAACAGGAGTGGCAACGGGCCTTGGTTGCCAGGCTGAACAAAGAGCACCCAGCTGTAGTCCTGCCTGAGAATCTTGAGTGCCGTCTCCTG